AACTTCATATTCAGACAATTCAAGTAAACACCGCTATCAAGAAGGTGGACCATACCACTCAAATGTATTTAAAAATTAAAGCTAAACAACATAACCAACTTACCCTTTAATCAAAGATATCATCACCTATAACATATTCATCATAATATGCCCTTTGGGAAGTATATAAACCACAATAACAACCATAAGAAAAAAAACTCAAAGACTACCAATTCATGCTCATATAACCCATTTCTTAAGACAACATTGGATGAAAAGATTTAACTTGATTTCATTAAAGTTATAACCTTAAAATCATAAAAAACAATTAGAAACATCATTATCAAGTCATTAGAAACTTTTTCATGCAAGACCCATTCTTAGATTTGAAGATAGAAGAAACTAGGGTTGAAAACTCTTTTGAAATCTTTTAGAAAGGGGATCCTTGAATTGAAGTGTGTTAAAGGATGGATACCATACCTCACATTGAAGAAATTCCAATGATGTATGATCGATAAAAGACGAACAACAACCCTCCTAGTATTCTTGACTTCTAGCTTCCATGGTAACTTGACAGAGTCTTCTAAGAGAGAGGGGTTTTGTGTTTTAGGAAGAGGGGTCTAAAATTTAGTCTTAGGGTTTATACAACTTTAATATACCAAATAAACCCTAAAATAACGTCCTAGGGTCATTAAATACTTGCGGTGAATTTACTAAACACCCCAAGACTTAACAACCAGCATTGCAGCTTTTAGGATAGCCACCATCGACGGACCAACCAATGATCCGTTTGTCAATGGATGGGCCGTTGGTGAGGTCTCGTTGGTTGGGATGCGACTTCACAACTTGCAGAGATTCTTTTCAAAACGACATACTAGGTCAACAGGCAGTTGCCTGGTGGACTGGCCATCAATTTGCTCGTCGACTGGAAATTGTTTTGGCAGTGTTGGTCAAAGTCTTGACCCCTTCATCTAGGGCCCCTTGTGCATTCTAGGTGGGGTGGTGCCCGGACGTTAAAGACCAAAAAAAGTCGTCTTTGTCTTAGGAACATCCCACATCAATTTCAAGCAAAACGAAGATGTAAAACTCACTCAAACACACCAAGACACACAGCCGCTATCTAAGGTACACCTTCCAAACGTCCGAGACGTTCTCGGACGTTTGACCTCAAAACATAACAAAACATCAGACACTGCCTAAGAAAACTAAGGTAACTCATTTGAATTACAATTAGCTCAATAAACACTCGGGAGGGTATATTTCACCTTTGTTTATTTTGGGCGTTACAACTTGTGCAATGCGTAGGTCGGTTCATTACTTCTACCTATCCTAAGGACCTTAAATTAGGTTTTCCTAGTTAGGGTCCCTTTACTCTAATTTAATAACATTGTCCATTTTACGTTGGGGAAACTACAGCCTTAACCGACACTAAGAACATGGGTGCAAAACATGGAACTTAGTTTTGTAGAGATTTACACTAGAGGAAGGTTCCCTACTTATACAAAGTTGAACATTAACACATGATAGCATACTATGTGATATAACTTTCTAGATCCTTTGTGGAAATGATAGTTTATGGAGCTTGGGGGGATATCATGGAAACATCACTATATGCCCTTTTAGGCTATGAGGATATCCATCCCGTGAGAACTATGGTCAACGTTACCTTCCCTCCGTGGGAAGGATTCACCCCTCATCTACAAGCTGACTCAGTGGCAAGAAAAGTTCCCTTTATTTAAAGGAAATTATTACATTACTTTAAAAAACGTAGGCTTAGGAGATTTAACCCTTCATATGCTTAGCTCATAGGTTATAGATGAGAGCTCATAAACCTAAGTCATGTGAGAAACCCTTTTACATCGAGATAGCATATTCAAGCAAAATCTGCTTAAGGTATTCTTGGGAACACCTTTTATGAGCCCCTCTATTGACTAGATTATCATATATGCATAATGTACACGTTTTCATGTTATACTTATATTTGAGCAAACCTTTCACATAAATACCTTTGACCCACACATGTTCATGCTTTACTTCATGCATACATATAAGACAAGTTAAGCACTACTATTCATTCAAATTCATGTACATATAGAATAAACCTAGGAACTATCGTATTAAGACACACATGTGCAATACATACCAAGGTCCCATACCCTAGTCCATACTAGTACACCTATCAAGTCATCCTAGTTAAGAAATATATGCATACTTCAAGGACATGTAATTTACATTCATAGTAGTAGACATTAGTAGATATGAGAATTATCCTTTAATTAGACACCGTGAATCAATACTAATTATAAGCATGCATGAGATGTGTATATGTACATTAGACCACATCTTCACATAATGGAAACAATCCTAACATTGATGAAAGCACCTTATAAATGTCAAAATACATATGCAATTCCCATAAACCATAGACAACTATCATATAGAGTAACAAGAACTATAGACCACACACAAAAACATTATAATATAGGAGACAAGACATCTTCATTACTTGAATCTTAGGCTCCTAATCATGCTTAAGACCACACATTCATGTAGAGGTTCATAGGTAGGAATCATACTATGCAAGAATATTCAAACATCAATATGTAGACAATACCTAGCCCTAATATAGTCATTTTAACGTAGTGGGAGCATCATCAATATAACCTAGATCACGAACTAGCATTGAAGACTAGGTATATTACTTCACATTTTGTGATCATCGTAACAACACTCTCAAGATATAATTGCCTTCAAGGCCATGTTCAACACATATAGGGACTGAGAATAAGATAAACACCGCCACCATAAGTGGACCATAGCACACAATGTTATACAAGGCCAAGCATCTTGCAATTCTAAATCAAAGTAGAGAGAATAGGCCCAACTTACAATTCCTCCAAACTTTGATCATCATTGATCAATTCCCATAATTCAATATCAATACATTTATAAAAAACTATTAATAGGTGATTCAACATAATTGAAACATAATTCATATTCAATCACACGAATAGCAATAGTAATAGGCGATTAAACATAATTGAAACATAATTCAATTAGGATAGAATCAAGATAAAAAGACCCACACTATAGGCCAATTTGAGAATTTAGGAGTATCATGAGTTTATCATGAAATTTGATTCAAATTCATATTTATAAATCTAATTATTAATTTATCATAAACATTCTTTTGAAATCAATTTGAGAAAAACCCCATGGCTAGATTGAAAATTTAGAATTTTGGTCGTTAAATCACTTTTCAAAAATCCTTGATTGAACTCCTTAGATGAATGGATAACTAAGGATAAAGGATCACCATAACTTATTTATTGAAGACCCATGAGATATTTGATAAGAAACCAGAAAATCCAACCCCTAGCTTGAACTTGAGTTTTCCCTCCAATAGAGGTTTGAGAGAATTTGCACAAGAATGGAATTTTGGGATTTTTGATTTTCTTATTGGGTTTTGGGTTTTGATTTGGGGATGGGATTAAATAATCTTAAAAACTGTTTATAACCTTCACCCAATATTACCAAAATACCCCCACATTTATTTGAACTTTTAGATATGTCAAACTCAACTTCTATTCTAGAAATCTCGTTGGGGAAAATGTTGGCGATGTAAAGCTGTTCCCCCATGATTTTTTTGAAAATAAATTTGGAGATAGTTGAGTATGAATTTTGTCTGAGACGCGGACCAACTTTTTGACTTATAGTGTACCAAGTCCACGACGCGGTGCTGACGTGGGCAGCTTGTCGGCCCATGGTTGGGTCCTTCTCAAGGTTCCACTGTTTGGTCCTTGGGGTGTTTTTCCCGGACATTTCCAACTCAAATACTCTCGTTTAGAAATTAGGAACCTATCCTTTACATTTGAAAATCAAGCAACACATAAAACATACCAAGGCACACTAAAACACACAGATACGTTTCAAGGGTTAACTTTTGAATGTCTTAGACGTTGTAAAACATTTGACCTCCAAAACACTTCAAATAAAGTATACATACTGTAAAAAACATAATGAACTTATTGTAAGCATTATTAGGCACTTTTCAGGCTCTAAAAACCTTAATTGATTTTAAGGGTCCTTATAACTATGTAATCTTCTTATACGAAAGGTGTATATATACTCGAAATGAATATGTATTATGTGTAAGCGAGAGATCTAAACATCATAAAGTACTATAGATGAAAAGTTTTAAATTTTCTATGTTTCAACCTATGTATGTAACGATAAATTCAATAGGATAGTATTAGTTCTTTCCGAGGATGATGACGCCGATTACGTCTAGGGGAAACTTCCCAGATGTGACAAACTTGCTACTCGAGGATGAGTGAATTTTTAAATGGGTGATATTGTTACGACCCTCAAAATAAACTAAGTTATCTAGAGCCTCACATGTGTCTAAAAGGTTAAATAACGTGTTGATAAATTATTTACATCTTTAATCATTGATTTGAAGAGTTTTGGAAGCCAAATGGACAAGAACGAACAAGATGTTCGAAAGTAGTTTTTAAACGTGCTAGTGTGTCCTTTTATGTTTTCCTTGATTTAATGTGTTGTATGATGTCTAAAAACATTATAGGTGACCTAGTGTCTTTATATACATTCTAAGGGTAAAAAAAATTGGGTACGACTCCCCGAGGATCACCCTAAGGTTCCTTGAGAAGGATCCAAACATTGGAGAAGGAAGCTGCCCAAGGCAGCGTGCAGAACAAAGAAATGAAGCCCACCTCGTGTTGCAAGCTTGGCGCATCATCTTCCTATGTGTCGTACGAGCTACATGAGTCTCACTGAACAAAAAATTATGGGAGGCAATATTTGGGGCTGCCTGCATGACGTTCAACCATTTCCCAGTTTTTGTTGCGTTGTTTTAAAATCATTTTTGACATGTCTAAAAGTCCCAATAAGTATGGGGGTGTTTTAGTAACTTAGGGAGTCTGTTATTAAATTTTTTTTAGGACCTATTTAACCCCTTTCCCAAGTTAAAATCCCATCACCCATTAATAAAACATAATCCCCAAAACACTCTTCTCTTCCAAAACCTCCATTGAAGACCAAGCTCAAGAACAAACTATGAAGGTTGATTCTTGGAGATTTCTTCTCATATTTTGGTGGTATTTCTAATATAAAAGGTATTCTAATTATTCATCCCTATATTACCATTAATTTATGGAGTCCTTTCAAATATTTTTCCAAACATGATTCTAAGTCAAAAATCCTATCTTTCAATCTAGCCATGGGTTCTTTCTCAAATTGATTTCAAAACCATTCTAATGACGAATATATGTTTAGATACTAATATTATGATGAATTTCTATCAAATTTTATAAAGAACCCATGATCCTCCTAATTTCTTAATTTGCCTATAATGTAGGTCTTGTGATCTTCATTATATGGTCATTATATTATCTATAGATTATCATGAATTGCTTAGTTCTACATTTCTTTATGTAAGTTGATTATGAATTGTTGGGAATTGATCAATATGTTAGTTATCTTAAAGATTCGGTAATTCGACCTATTTTCCTTTTAATTGCTTAGAATGTATATTGAATTGTGATGATTAGTATGATCAAATAATGGTGGCGGTTTTTACATTCTTATACATGTTTTTGTGTTTTGATCATAGCCTTGAAGACATTATATGCAAAATGAATTGATATGATGATTTCCATGTTTAGGAAGTCGAAGGAGATAGTCTTGATTCTAATATCATGTTCTAAGTGTATTGATGTTATGTGAAGTATATGAATAACCCTCAAAACAAGTTGAATGACCTAGGTGCGGGCCTGATGTTTTATGTATATGTGTGATGATTATGTTAGGATTTGGTGGTCATTATGTCTAGTGATTAAGAATAGCCTTCTAGAATGACCCCTACATATATGAACCCTATATTAATGTGTGATCGAAGTATGCTAGGATTCTTATATTCAATTGTTGAATATTTTCTAGTGTTCTATGATGTAATGTGAGTGTGTGTAGTCTATATTCCCTAATACTCTATATGTGTATATGAGTTGAGACTTGAGGAATGTTGTACGTGTGTTGTTATCTTTAGAGGGTGGCTTCCTAAATGTTATACTATAGCCATTATGTAATCATGTTGACCTATGTACACACACACACTTCATGTATCACTATTAATAGGATAGATTAATGATGAGTGAAGAAAGGATAGTTCTCCTATGCATCATTACCTATTTTATGCCTGTAAGTATGTGATTAATGAAGTTATGAACATGTATTATTAGAGGTGTTATGTGAAGGTAGATCTCACATTGTCTGCACATCACACACATGTTGTATGAATGTAGGAATATGTGAAATGACATTCTCACATAAAGTAAGGTCTGTGACGAAGGACTTTCAAATCTTAAATACCTTTAATCTATATGATGTATGAGGTATTTATTCCCAAATTCCTAATTTTTATGAACTAAGTTATTTAAAGGCTTAATGATGTTTAAAAAGGGAGTTTAGGCTTAGCACCGACTGAACATGACAAATGAGAGTGGGAGCTTCTTGTTAGTAGGTCCAGCTTCACACAAAGAGAACCTTCATGTTGGTAAGTTTGGGTTCTAAACATAGATTGTTATATCATGAGATGGTAACGTCCACGTTATAAAGTCAAGGTTTTTTATAGCAATCTCCTTGTTCCTTAACTACCTGCCCCTATGATGCCATGTGTATATATTGTGACTACTATATGAAATAACTTGTATGCATTGCTTTAATTTGAACTCTATGATTCCATGTGTATATATTTTGACTAGGAGAAGGTAGTTCCTCCTTAAACAAAGCTAAGTATGGTGATGTTATATATGACCTTGATGGTGTTATGTCTAGACTATAAGATTCCAATTGATCTATATTATTCATGATTCTTGTGCAACTAAATGATTTTTTTAAACTTTTTTATTGACTTGAAGTGTGGGTTATATCTAGGGGTGCAATTGAAATCCATAGTATGTCTAACTTTGTGGTTAAATAATGAACATTACTAAATTTGGAGAAGGTTGTTCCTCCAAATTGCAATAAATATGAGAAGTAAGTATGCATGGAATGAAGTAGTCCCTGTTTTATTATGTTGCTTTGAATGCATTCTAGAATGAAGTTGGAGTTCCTTGTATGTTTTTCGTATTATATTTTATGTGATCACATATTCAAGTGTTGTGATCTGTTATGGGAGTCATTGAGTTGTTGAAAACTTTTCAAATGTCATTAAAGGACGAATGTTTTACCAAGTAGGGTAGTATTAATACATTCTCAAAATGAGGTAGGTTGGATTACATCCTAACATGTTTTTATGATATTATTAAGTCTTTAAATGATTAATTATCTTTTTAAAATGTAGTGTGAAAGTTTGAACTGGTTTGGAGGACTTTTTAAGTCAACTATCCAAGAATGCCGAAGAGGTTCAAACATTTTCCCTCAAAACCTACTTGAGTGTCTTAGTGTGTCTTGTCAGATTTTACTTGTTGTTTGAAGTTGAAATTTATGAGAGAGGTTCCTAATATGTATAAGAGAGTATTTGAGGTGGAAAAATTGGGGAAAAACTCCCCAGGTATCAACAAAAGGGTTCTTGAGGAGGACCCAACCTTGGGCCGCCAAGCTGACCAAGGCAGCAGATTTTGTTCCTTGATAAAACAGGTCGGCATCGCGGACATGGTCCACCATAGGTCAAAAAGTTAGTCCACATCAATAACATAATGCAGACTCAACTTCCCCCAAAGTTTTTTTTCAAAAAGATCATGCGGGAACAGGTCCATGTCGCGGACTTGTTCCCTGATGAAGATTCTGAAAGCTAAATGTTTAGTTTGACATGTCTAAAAAACAAAATAAGTATGGTGGTGTTTTGGTAACATAGGGAGATTTTTATTAACTTTTTTAGGACCCTTTTAAACCCTTTTCCAAGGAAAAACCCCAACACCCAATATGAAAAATAAAAACCCCAAAATTCTCATTTTCTCAAAATTCTATCAAACCTCAATTTGACAGAAACCTCAAGTTCAGGCTAGGGGCTGAATTTTCATGGTTTCTTCTCAAATTACCCATGGTTCTTTAATAAATAATGTATGATTATCCTCCATCCTTATGTATCCATTCATATGAGTAGTCAATCAAGGATTTTCAAATGTGATTCAAAGACCAAAATTTCCAATTTTCTATCTAGCCATGAGTTCTTTCTCAAATTGATTTCAAAAGCATGTTTATGATAAATTAATGATTATATACCGTTTTTTAATATTAATTTAAGTCCAATTTTAGGATGAACCTATGATCCTCCTAATTTATCAAATTTGCTTATAATGTGGGTCTTGTGATCTTGACTATACATTGATTATATTGAATAATATATTAATATTTTTATTTATGTGAATTGAATATGAATTTTTGATTATTGATCAATGATGATCAAGGTTTAGGGATTGGGTAAATTGATCTCTACTCCTCTACTTTCTATCGACTTGTTGAAGTAGTGAACCTAATGTAAATCTTGAAACTATGATGTTTGAAATAAGATTTTGTTATGTAATGGTACTTTTAGCTACTGTTTTATACATGTATCTATGTTTAATTATTGAAATTTCTCTATGATTATCAAAGCTTGGAGGAATTGTAATTTGCCCTATTCTCTCTACTCTTCTATAGAATTGCTAGATGCTTCGCCTTGTATGACATTTCGTGGTATGGTCAACTTATGGTGGTGGTATTTACCTTATTGTAAATCCTTATATGTGTTGTCTATGGCCTTTAAGGAAATTGTATCTTGAATGTCTGGTTGTTGATCATTAACCAATGTGAAGTATTATGACTAGTCTTCAATGATAGTTCATGATCAAGGTTATATTGATGATGCTTCCTATACGTTTAAATGACTATGTTAAGGAAAGGTATGGTCTACATGTTTATGTTTTAATACCCTTGTCTAGTGTGATTCCTCTATATATTAATCCCATATGAATCTGTACTCGAAGTAGGCTATGAGTCTTCTATTTAATTGTTGAATATATACTTGCCTCCTATGATGTAATGTGAATGTGTGTAGTCTATAGTCTTAAAAACTCTAGATGTGTTTAACTAAAAGACTTGTAAGAATGTTGTACATGTGGTGTGATATTTAGAGGGTGGCTTCCTGAATAATAATTGATAGTCATTATGTGATCATGTTGACCAATATAGACACACACATTTCATGCATGACTATGAATAGGATAGTTTCATGATGACTAAGGAAAGGATAGTTCTCCTATGCATCATTATATATTTTATTCATGTAAATATATTATTAGTGAATTTATGAAAGTGTGATTAGAGGTGTTATGTGAAGGTAGATCTCACATTATATGCACACAAACATGATGTATGATTGTATGATTATGTGGAAAGACGTTCTCACATAAAGTACGGTCTATGATAAAAGGACATTGTCATCTTTGGATCCTTTGAGATATATGTTGTATGAAGAAGAAAGATCCTAAAGCCTTCTTTATAAATTAATGCATTAAAGTCTTGAATATCTTAAAATGGGTGTTAGAGACTATCCCTGAGTGATCATGAAAAATGAGAGTTGGGGATTCACGTTAGTATGTCTGGCTTCACATAATAGAACCTTCACGTTTAGCAAGCCCGGGTTTGCAACATAGATGTTGTCTCATGTGATGGAAACCTCCACGCTAGTAAGTCAAGGATTCTAGAAGCAATCTCCATGTTTCATAACTACTTGCCCCCGTAGGTTATATGTTCTGGATACAACATATATAGCTATGTACGATTGATTACACCATAGGCAAGTGTTAACCCTCTCTTTTCTGTGTGTGAGCAGAACGCCGAATTCAATGTAACTCACATGGTCTATGTCGGTAATAGCTAAGTCTCTCAAAGTAAGAAATTAACTAAGATAAGATTATGGTCTCTAATCATAACTCCTTGAGTATATTACTTAGTATAGGTAGAATTATTTCCCCTACCTATGCATTGCACAAGTGAACTTTAAAGAAAGAATAAGATTAGTAAATGTATGAAAGTAAGATTTATGTTATGTTTGTATGACTTGTACGAATGCATGATTAAATGACTCTGCTATGGTTAAGACATGATTATGTGTATGTATGTGAATTACACTTATGGCTTCGAAATGAGTTTACTTTGTATATGTAGGGGTATGGGACTCCATGTCTACATTGCACAAGTAAGCTTGTGAAGGAGTTGTGAGGGTGGTTTAATTATGATATGAATTAAATACTTTATGTCTAAGGTTGTAGTAAAGCAAAGAGTCCTTATGTGATGCTATGAATTATGTGGTCATATGTCTAGTTATGAATGAAAGGGCTATGACTTGTTAAGTATGTTATGCCTAGTCTAAGGTGACTTCTTTTGTACACTTGGTGGAAGTAGTATTATGTGATGCTACCTACACATTGCACTAGTGTGACTTTGGTGTTGTCTTAGGTGATGGTATTTATGTGAAGTTATTGTCTATGATGATCTTATGACTTGTGAATATATATGGTTGTGTCTATGAAGAATATCTATGAAAGACTATTGTAAGGTGACCTCAAGTGGTTACGTTATACTAGGTACACTTGAGGGTTACTTAAGGAAAGAATTGTATTATATGTGTTGAATATGCCTCAAAGTATGATAACTTGCTTTATGTGCTATTATGGGTATTATCCATGTCTATATGATGTATGCGAACTATATTGAGCTTATATGTGCTGATGTACATGAAGTTTACTAAAAAGACATGTCTCATGATTTCAAATGTATGTCCTATTGAAATGCATGGTTTGTCATGGTTTTCATACTTAGTGCATTCTTGTACTAATATCATTCTTCTTCGTCTTTTTGCACAAACTCTAGGTGTTGATTGCTATAGGATGTCTCCTAAGTTAAGGTCTTGGATAGATCTCCGAAGTTCAAGTAAAGGTAACTTTATGATACAAGGGTTGCCTATGTCAAGATGCTTTATTTAAGTTGATGTAATAGCTTAAACATTTATTTTATATTCTTAAGGTTCGTATGCCTATTCTATTGTATTGAGTTGTGTCTTATCATGGCAAAGAGACTCATAGTCTTACTATATATTATGAGGTTTATATATATATATATATATATATATATTCAATCATATGATGTGGCATGAAAATTTTTAGATTTTCTGCTATTTTTATGTTTATGCTATGAAAAATGTTGAGCCCTCATTTTAGAAATTCCTAATGTCAAGTCTTTGATTCCAAAGTCTCATGGAATATGAAAGAATGATATGAACTACGTGATATGATATGTGAAATATGCTATGTGTTGTTTGCAAAATGATAAATTTGATGATACATGTTACAGTCATGGCATGACTTCCATAATCCAAATTTGGCAAGTCCACTGGCTCGACCTTCCATAAATCATGTTGTTAGGAAAGAGCTATTATTTCTCATGCATATCCTTGGTGTGTTCTTGCATGTACGCATACTTAGTACAAGTGTGTACTAATTCCATACAAATATCTACTTTTAGGTCCAGGCACTGGTGGACGTTAGATCTTATAATACGATGTTGCTGCTATCCGGACGTGGAGCTTTCATCCGGACTTGCTACTCCTCATGCTTTTGAGGCAGTCTACTGTAACTATCTAGCTTAGATGTACGCTTTAGCAAGTGGAGCATGTTCGACTAGTGTTTTTTTCCACGTTTATTTCATACTTTGTATTGGTGCCATTTTCGCAAAAATATTTTTAATGATTTAATGAATTGTTTCTTTTATTTGATTATCTCTATATTAGATGGTTGATTTGTGAACGCCTATGATGTTAAGTTCAAAATATTTATCATGAAATAAGGAAATAAAAAGATCAAATTTTCTGTTAAAATTAACCTAGATTAGTAAGAATTACATACGTCGGCTTGTCTACGACCTCTGAAAGGTCAACGACGCTGGTCTCGTCTGGAGTCGATATTTTTGTCAGTACAAACATTATGCATATGAGAACAAGACCACATCATAGAGACTCATACCATGAACATCTCGATAACAAGTAGACAAACACTGCCATGACATGCATAAAAACAACCATAATCATACACCTTAGATCACCTTCGTAGAATTCCGTAAGAAGCCACTTTTGCAAGATGTAGGTGGGTTCATTGCTTCCACCTATATTAAGTAACCTCCTTTACATAATTCCAGTAAGGTTATAAGTCATTTACTTCCATTTTTTATTTTACTTTTAGGGAAGATATAGCCTTAACCGACACTAAGATCATAGGTGTTACATCAAATTTTGTGTTGTAAAGCCTTACACCAATGGAAGGTTTTCTTAACTATCCAAAATAGAACATTAACATATGCTCGCATACTAGTGATTCACTTTATAGATACTATGTGGCTAGAATAGTATATGGAAATTGGAGGCCATTGATACGCTCAAACTTACTTGTCAAATAAGAAGTAAAATGGTCATGTATAGTAACTAACCCAACTAGTGAGGTTGGGATCGTTCCCACGAGAAAAAAATAGTCTATACTTAACTTCTACCTGTAAAAGGGGGGTTTCTATTTATAAATGAATGAAAATAACTAACGCAATTGAAAGAGACACTTAAAAGCTTTGAATGTTGGATTTTAATCAATTAAGCCAAGTAATAGGGTTTACGTGTTTCCTACACGTTCATAACTTGATAATTCTAACCATAACAATTCTTTCCTAGTATCTTGCATGCAAAGTGATAAGTTATGTATTTCTAAATCCTTGGTCCGGCATCTAGAAAATCTCACTCCACACCATGGTCCGTCTACATGTGTTGCTATCCTAACCCTTATCTTTACCTCATATTAAGAATCATATTCGATATTTGACTAAGTTATTACCTCGTACAAATCAATACTAGCCTATTAGATAGTATACACTAAATCTATGTTTATAATTCTTTTCCTATTATCTACCTTCTTGGTCCGGCAAGTAGCATTAAGGCGAATTCAAACGTTGGCCATACGTTAAAAAGACTTCTAAGCAAAAAATTATTAATACATGCAAGACACCATTCTAGAATTGTTATTTTAGTTAGGTTTTATCTCATTCTTTGCCCATTGTTCCCACAACCCTAGTAATGGAGTTAAGTTTGCCATAGTCATAATCACAATATTCAAATATATTAAATAAGAATTCATGTGCTTACTTCAATAAGAAAGAGTAAAATCCGAAAGTTTGCTTGATTAATCACCAAAAATCACTTGCAAGAATCTTAAAGTTATAAATAATCTAACAAAAAGTCTAATGATAGTCAAGAATCAAGCAATACAATATCTACTATGATGTCTAACAATCTAAGAGTCTAACATTGATTCCCAGTCTACAATTATCCAGAGTATAACTATGATCCAGAGTTTAAGCCCTAAAATGATGTTTTTCGAACTATTTATTGAAAATAAAAACCTATTTAAACAAGGACTCTATTTGCTGGAAATCTGCAAAAACGCGGCTGGGTCGACAGATCTCGTGACGGATCGTCATGGTCACGACGGACCGTCATGGACTCCGTCGTCCCATACTTATGAAATTTCTTCTGCTGCTTTCTTCATTACCCTCGATGACAAGTATGACGGACCGTCATAGGCACAATGGTCCGTCAAGGGTCTTCGTTCCAAAACACTTAAACTCTTTGAATATGGGTACTGGGATTACTTCTCTGAACTTCATGACGAACCTGCAGGACGGACCGTCATAGACATAAAGGACCATCACAAGCTTCCTAACCCCACACTTGGTCAGACTTTCCCTTCTTCCTTCAGCAGCTGCACTATGCTGCCACCTAAGGACCGTCACAAGCTCCGTAGGTGGTCTCTTCTGCATTTCTTTTCTCAAAATCTCCGGATTCATCTTTTGACATATTTCCTGCAAAATAAAGAGAAACTTATGTAAAAATTAGCACAAAAAGGCTTTTGGACACACTAAACATAAGGAAATAGTACTAATAATACCGTGAAACCACGGTATATCTACACCCTCAACTTAAATTCCTTGTTTGTCCTCAAGCGACACACTATGACTCAATAGAAAATCTTTGTACAATAGTATCCATGTTTTATCCTTTGCAATCATTTGGCTATCAATCCCGATTATTCTAATCAAATCTATGCATATTATCACTATTAGGCATTAATTATATAGGATCAAAATATGACACAGACTAACCATGCACTAATACCTATCCTCTTTAATTTCTCATCGAGGTACTAATAATTTCGGTATTGCAACTAGTGTCCTCACATTAAAACAAAATCCTCATTTTTCACACAATGATTTCAGTTTGAGTATAAGGATTACTTCTCAACACTCTCTCTCAGAACAATGTCACACTCATTCATGCCTATTGCCATAAGCTTGCCCTTATTTTCACTTCCTTAAGTTCGCTAAAAAACCCATTGGATCGTGATATGACATTCTTAGCTTGTAACATAGGGTCAGTGTCAGGTAGGGTATATTTAGGTGTACATTAGTGACTTTTTGCCTTCCTTGACATATCGGCTAAAACTTCCACTTTCTATAATTTTGTCTCGCGCAGTTTCTCATATTCTTTAACCTTGCTATTTTCTCTTCTTTCTTCATTCGTGTAAGTTACTCTTTTCTTTTCTTGGTTGTATTTCTTGTATATTTTTCTTTTTCTTTACTTCTCTATAAACTAATTCTTGAGTCACTTGACTTTTTTTCTTTCCTATCTTTGTTATTTAAACCACACTTTCCAGAGCATTCCTCATTATAGCCACCCTCAACTCATGGCTTTGCCTTGAGTCAAGGTACACAATACCCAAAGTTGGGTCAGGGCCATAACGAAGGTTGTTTACTGCATTAGCCACCCTCAACTTATGCTTTTGGCATAAGCTGAGGTGCACATGTCCAAGGAGGGACCAGGGCAAACACATTGTTCCCAGAAAAGATCAGTTGGGGTGGAACAGAAAGGTATAATTTAAGCTTAGATCATTTGTATCAAAGAGGGATAAATTTCATTTGGTTTCTTTTATTTAGGATAGAAATGGTCTATATTGAATAAGGGCCTATGATCCTTTCCTAATTGTCTATTACAACATAATTTTAGCAGGACTAACCAGGCAAGTTCTAGCTCAGTACCAATAGTGGACTATTCAAATCTTCCTCACACTCACATGACATCTCATCACTATACAATATTATCAGACACCTAGTTTTAATTTTAGACTTGGTAATGCAATGGTGTACCTCTATGTCATGCTTAGAGTTACACATTTATACGTTACTATGCCTAGTCATGCATAATTTTCTAATTTATCAGGATAAATTTAGCCATCATGCTCCAGAATTAAAATATGTACAAAAGATATAGACATGCCGGTTCAACAGAAAAAGTAATCAGTCTTTTGGGGAAAAAGAAAACAAGCAAGAAAACCCCAAAAGAGGATAGTGAATTGGGCTACTCAGAGTTCACCCTAGCACTCACTTTCCATTTACCCCACCCCCTATAAAAAAACATGCAATTGTCCCCAGTGCATACAAATTTTAATAATAGAGTGGTAGGTAAAGAAAACCTATGGCGCAAAGCGCCGTCAATCAGCAAGCTGGTGGGTCCAGTTCCCCGGAACCCACGTCCTCTGCAATCTGGACACCCTCAGTGGTGTCCTCACCAACAACCGCATCATTAGTAGTGCCACCTTCTATCTCCACAGTTCGGGAGCTAGACGCCCCAGCAACTAACTCTGATGCACTCATCTGGTATGCTTCCTCCTCAGCAAGTGAGGCTCTCCTTGCAGCCTCCATCTCTCGGCGCTCCTTCTTCCGTGCGCTCACCTCAACCTCTGCACGAACCCTACGCCTCTTTTCATTCTCTCGAGGGGGAGGTGGTGGAATCTCTGAAGTGGCAAATAGGGACGCCAACACTACGTCTTCAGCAGGTTTGACAGAAGGGGCCTCAGACTCAAGCACCCTAGCCTCTAAGATCGTGCCAATATCTGCGCAAAGGCTATCGACGGCAGCCAGAAAAGTTGACACGTCCACTTGAGGGGCTGGCCGAGCTAGCACCCTCAACTTAAAGGCGTCCCACCGCTAGTGAACCTCAACGATCTTCCGCTCTGTATATTGGACAATTTTCCGCTCTAGGCGCTCTTCTGACTCAGTAATCGAGTTTTGCATCCACGGATGGATATGATGCAGGAGCGTAGCCATTTGCGCCTCTAATTTTGGACCCTAGCAAGTGGCACCAGTTCCGGTAGAGCGGTTGTGCGAGAGGAGCTCTGGTCAGTGCTACTACCCGGGATAGACTCGACCAGGGTAGTGTCAGTGGACACGCCTATGTTGACGTGCCAGCCAGGGCTACTGTATCGGCAAGATCATCAGCAAGTGGGGGCATCTATGGAAGGGGCTCTCTGCGTGGAGTAAACTCATTGGCCTCATCTCAGATGAGGCCAACGTTAACAGTGCCCTGTGGGGTCTTAAGCTGATCTACGTGCCATATAGGCACACTTGCGGACCTGCAGAGAGAAAATATCATGCACTGGAAAGGGTAAGTAGTAGTGACCTTGAAAGCCCTCTTGTGCATGACTGCCTGTAGAAGCCACGCGAAATCCACCTCGAACCCAGCTATCATCGCCGCCATCAACACTTCTCGATCCCATGTAACGACTTTATCGGCAGCTGTGGGGGAGAGGCAGTGGCGGAAAATCAACCATAAGAACTTC